CATCTCGGCTCACCACAACCTCCACCTCCTGGGTTCAGGCAATTCTCCTGCCTCAGCCTCCTGAGTAGCTGGGATTACAGGCAGGCGCCACCATGCCCAGCTGATTTTTTTGTACTTTTAGTAGAGACGGGGTTTCACCATGTTGATCAGGATGGTCTCGATCTCTTGACCTCGTGATCCACCCGCCTCGGTCTCCCAAAGTGCTGGGATTACAGGCGTGAGCCACCGCGCCCGACCATAAAACTATTTTTAACTCATGGGAGGTAATCAGAAGGTAGTATCATCTATATCACTTATAAATATTCACATGTTCTGCTGCTGCAGGTTTAAAACATGATTCTCAAATAATTTTAAAAAATTAAGTCAGATAAGACTTTATCAATATTGTATATGTGTATGTATGTACATACAGAGAGGAAGACAGAACAGGTTAGGGCAATAAAAAACGGGCAAAATGAAAACAACTGGTAAATCTGGATAAAGGGTATATGAGAGTTCCATGTATTATGCTGGCAACATTTCTGTCAGTTTGAAATTACATTAAGATTTAAGATTATCCCCAAAAGGTCAAGAATATAATGAAAACAAACTTCCTGTAACAATATCCATCTTCTTCAATGAAGACCATATACAGCTTAAGTTATTAGGAAATTGTAGATAATTTTAATAAAGTCAACATCAAGAATATAATCTGGTTGTAAAACCAATACAATGTGCTCTAAAATAATTTTTCTATTGAGTTAAATATTCATCTGTAAATCCTGTAACAAAATGTTCATATTCACAAAATCTGAATGAAAAGTAAACACAACTTGGCATTTCCAACCCAGGGTAACAGAAAGTTCACTCTGGAGGGGACTAAGATTTTTGTTTAATTTTGCTTTTGAAACCAAGCATAATTATAGCCAAAATGAGGGACATTATTCAGAATGAGGTTATTTATTTAACAAAATACTGCTTCTCTGAAATACAATTAACTAGGGAGAGTGACAGTAATGCTGAAAAAAAGAGAACACGAAAATGCACATTGCATTTCTGAAAGGTTATAATCATTTGAGACAGAGTCTCACTCTTGCCCAGGCTGGAATGCAGTGGCTCTTGTGATCTTGGCTGACTGCAACCTCCACCTCCCAGGTTCAAGCAATTCTCGTGCCTCAGCCTCTCAAATAGCTGGGATCCCAGGTGTGCAACATTACATCTGGCTTTTTCTTGTATTTAATTTTTACTTAATTTTTTTTTCTTTTGGAGACAGAGTCTCACTCTGTTGCCCAGGCTGGAGTGCAGTGGCACAATCTCGGCTCTCTGCAACCTCCACCTCCCGGGCTCAAGCAATTCTCCTGCCTCAGCCCCCACAGTAGCTGGGATAATAGGCACCTGCCACACGCCCAGCTAATTTTTGTATTTTTAGTAGAGATAGGATTACACCATGTTGGCCAGGCTAGTCTCAAACTCTCAACCTCAGGTGATTTGCCTGCCTTGGCCTCCCAAAGTTTTGGGATTACAGGCATGAGTCACCATGCTGAGCCCAATTTTTTTGTATTTTAGTAGAGACAGGGTTTCACCATATTGGCAGGGCTGGTCTTGAACTCCTGGCCTCAAGCGATCCACCCGCCTCAGCCTCCCAAAGTGCTGGGATTACAGGCGTGAGCCACTGCACCATGCCAAAAGGTTACATGCCCGACTCTGTTTCCGAGTCTGCTTTTGATCCCAACTGTGTGTTTACAATTCTCTACATTTAGATTTAAAAAACATTTTATTTATGGTCAATCTGGATCATAATTACTGCATCTTAATTAAGTTTCCACTGATGAATATAGAAGGCTAAAGGCACAATTTTATCCCATCTAGTAGAGTAACCAACCAAAAGATCATTAGTTACTTTCAATTTAATAACTAATTGACATTCCTCAAACAACTGTTTTCAATCCTGATAGTTCTTTATTTTTTAAAAATATATTTGCCACTGGATGCTTATTTGCAATAGGTGTCATAATGAGAATAACCGAAACGGAATAAATGTGACAAATGATTGACAAAGCATTTCACACCCTTCAATTACACCACATCAAGAATGAGGGGAAAGTGTTGCAAAAGTAGACTACTGCAATGCTACTTATATTCTTGCAATAAAACCAGCAAGCATCCATATCATGAGAGTTATCATCTCACTTCCAACTTTTTTCCCTCAAGAACAATTTGAATCTCTTTGGCATCCAAAGTCTCATAGGTCAATAAAGCTTCTGCGAGATTCTTATGCTCCTTTGCATGAGTTTTCAAGATATGTTTTGCTCGTTCATATGAGTCCTGAAATAGAAAAGGACATACATAAGCAGCAGCAAATGTAAGCATGCAAAAACAGTCAATGGGAAAAGAAAAACCTTATGTACCCTAAAAAATATGAAATCTGCTTATATTTATAAAATCATAAGAATCTTAATTCTACAGTAGAGATAATTTGTGCATTATAACATAAATTTGTGCATTATAACATAAATAGTAAGGAAAAGAGAATAAACATCTGAGAAGGCAGAGACCACCTCTTCTATACATTCTCTGAATCTTTCCATCGTATAAACTTTCCATATTCTTAACTACTCTAACTCAGTATTTCCTGAACCAACCCAAATTTCTCCATTTCCACTTTCACCAATCTAATCCCAGCATCCATTACACCATGCCTGGTTTACCATAGTACCTTGTAACTGATCCCACTGAATTTACCCTTACATATTTCTCTATATTATTCTACAAAGGACACTGTAGTAAAAGGGAATTTCATTTATACTGTATTATCAGTATATGTACACTGCTGGGACCAAAGTGAATAACCAATATTTGTTGGCTGGGTGCAATGGCTCAGGCCCATAATCCCAACACTTTGAGAGGCCAAGACAGAAGGATTGCTTGAGGAATTTGAGACCACCCTGGGCAAAACAGCAAAACCTCATCTCTAGTAAATCTTTTTTAAAACTTTTAAAAAGTATTATTTGTTGGCTGGACGTGGTGGCTCATGCCTGTAATCCTAGCACTTTGGGAGGTGGGTGGATCACTTGCGGTCAGGAGTTCAAGACTCGCCTGGCCAACATGGTGAAACCCCATCTCTACTAAAAATACAAAATTAGGCATGGTGGCATGCACCTGTAATCCCGGCTACTCAGGAGGCTGAGGCAGGAGAATCACTTGAACCCAGGAGGCGGAGGTTGCAGTAAGCCGAGATCATACACCACTGCACTCCAGCCTGGGCAACAGAGCAAGACTCCATACAAAAAAGACAAAAAATTATTCGTTGAATACATGTCAGAGTGAGAAAACAAGACTGAATAAACAATACTCTTCCCATTCTATTACCTCCTACAGTTTTGGAGCTAAAGTACAATTGAATTTTATATGTATATAAAATTTTATATATATAGCTGTTATTTCAACAGCTTATGGAGTACAAGTGGTTTTTGGTTACATGGATGAATTGTATAGTGATAAAGTCTAGGAGTTTAGTGTACCCACACCCATGTAATGTACACTGTACCTCATATGTAGTTATTTTATCCCTCACACTGAGGACTGAATTTTTATAACCACACAATATATAACTGTTGTTAGGCCATGTCCAGGAGAAAATAAGTCCCATTTTATGCACAGAGAAAGGTGCCTTAATAACATTTAAATCATAGCTAAAATGGTGCACCTCTTATCTTTATTTTTCAATGTTTTCCCCAGACACCATGGTGACTTACTATTATCTTTATTTTATAAAATGATGTTTCTAGTGAACAGAGGGCCTTCAGTTGTTATTTTTTAACAACCTAACTATTTAAGCACATTGCTCCTAAGAAAATAAATAAGCACAGAAAAATATTATCGTTACCCTTAGAAGGATTCTTATTTCTTGTTCAATGGCAGATTGAGTTTCTGGACTTAGTTTCCCTGTATCACTGTAGGTCATAACTCCAAGCTAAAACCAAAAGGAAGAAAGTAATTGAACAGAAAACCCCCAAACAACAACATATTTAAAAGACAAAGTACTATCCTAGATATAAGGAAGCAAATATATGGGAGACAAGAAAGAAGTATAATGTAAAACTGCACTTAAGGCTGGGAGCAGTGGCTGACGCCTGTAATCCTAGCACTTTGGGAGGCGGAGGCAGGTGAATCACCTGAGGTCAGGAGTTCAAGACCAGCCTGGCCAACATGGTGAAACCTCATCTCTTCTAAAAACACAAAAACTGGCTGGGAATGGTGGTGTGTGCCTGTAATCACAGCTACTCAGGAGGCTAAGGCAGGAGAATCACTTGAACCCAGGAGGTAGTGATTGCAGTAAGCTAAGATTATGCCCCTGCACTCCAGCCTGGGCAACAGAGCAAGACTCCATCTCAAAATTAAAAAAATAAACAGTGTTTGAGGGAAAAGAAATTTCCACATTCTTCTGAAAGTATAAAGACTAACATTTAGCCAGTGTGGTGGTAGGTGCCTGTAATTCCCAGCTAATTCGGAAGCTGAGGCAGGAGAATCACTTAAACCCGGGAGGCAGTGGCTCCAGTGAGCCAACAACATGCCACTGGACTCCAGTATGGACAACAGGGCAAGACTCTATCTCAAAACAAAACAAACAAAACAAAAACACCCCACAAACCCACTAACATCAAAATAGTAAAAGTATGGGCAAAAGAGAAAATTTAAAATCTTTTTTTTTTTTTTTTTGAGACAGGGTCTTGCTCTGTCACCCAGGGTAGAGTGCAGTGGCACGACCATGACTCACTGTAGCCTTGACCTCCTGGATTCTGGCAGTCCTCCTACCTCAGACTCCCAAGTAGCTGGGAATACAGGTACACACCACCACACCTGGCTAATTTTTGTATTTTTTGTAGAGATGGGGTTGTGCCATGTTGCACAGACTGGTCCAGAACTCCTAGGCTAAACCAATGCAGCTTCCTTAGCCTCCCAAAATGCTGGGATTACAGGTGTGAGCCACTGCACCCAGCCTAAAATCATTTTAAGTCTGGTTCTGAGTACTTTCTTAAAAAACCTTGGCAGCTCCTTCAAATATAGAAATCCATAATTCACAGAGTATAATGGTACTTCAACAACAATGAGAAGATGAAAATATGAAATATATGGAAATGGTAAAGTAACCAACTCTGAAAGTAGGCTCTTTTATGCCATATGGAAAGGCTAAGGAATTCGCCTTGGTTTATCACTTAACTCATGAAGTAATCATTACTGTCTGGGCAGCTCATTCTGAGGAGCTAAGAAAAGGCTCCTTTTCCTTATTCGGAGAATTACAATGTTCAGAATAAGCAGCCTCAAATCCATTAGAGTAAGAGAGAGAAAAAGTAAATGTTACCAATTTATAATCAGAACCATCTCTTAAATCAACACTTGGCATGTAATTTGATACGTGAAAATGATTGAAATAATCTATTACCGCCAGGCGCGGTGGCTCAAGCCTGTAATCCCAGCACTTTGGGAGGCCGAGGCGGGTGGATCACGAGGTCAAGAGATCGAGACCATCCTGGTCAACATGGTGAAACCCCGTCTCTACTAAAAATACAAAAAATTAGCTGGGCATGGTGGCACGTGCCTGTAATCCCGGCTACTCAGGAGGCTGAGGCAGGAGAATTGCCTGAACCCAGGAGGCGGAGGTTGCGGTGAGCCGAGATCGCGCCATTGCACTCCAGCCTGGGTAACAAGAGCGAAACTCCGTCCCCCACCAAAAAAAAAAAAAAAAAAAGAAAAAAAAAGAAATAATCTATTACCTTTTCACTCATTCCAAATTTGGTAACCATCCGCTTTGCTATTTTAGTGGCATTATCAAAATCACTGGAAGCACCTAAAATAAAAACATACAACAATTTTTTAAAACATCTTTAAGATCACATACAATTTGAACTAAAACCATTCTTTAAAGCTAACCTGTTGTAATATGGTCAGTTCCAAATATAAGCTCCTCAGCCACTCTTCCTCCCATACTAACATCCATTTGTGCAAGCAGCTGGGATCTAGTTTCATTCCATCTGTCATTCTCAGGTAACAGGGACACCTGGACAATTAAAAATCAATCAGATAAAAAGTAAGAAAAGAAATTCAGATACAGGCTGTGTGCAGTGGCTCATTCCTGTAGTGTCAGCACTTTGGGAGGCCGAGGTGGGAGGAACACTTGAGCTCAGGAGTTTGAGACCTGCCTGGGCAACATCATGAGAGCCCATCTCTATAAAACAACATGAAAATTTAAAGAAAAGAAATTCTGATACAGTTCTGAGATAGTTACATTAAAAAATCAGAATTTCAGCACCATACGACTGGGGGAAATAAAAAAATAAAAATGAGAATTATCATTTAGCTCTCACTAAAGTACTTTATACCATGTTGCTGAAAGGTGGTCATCAGGGGATTGACGAAAAATCAGCAATTAGAAAATTTAAAAATCCATTATAAAGCAGTAACAATAGGTGGATAATGCTACAATAGCACTGTTTTCTCCCCAAGTGCATAGAAATTTTTTAAATGTTTACAATTTTGAAAGATCTGATAAACCTGTACTAAATGAGAAAAATCTTAGAGAAACTACTGAATCACTTACTAATGTCTTCTCTTTGGGGGCAGCAGAGCAATTAGATATTTAAGAATGCAGGGTGTGGTGCCTCACACCTGTAATCCCTGCGCTTGGGAAGGCTGAGGCGGGTGGATCACCTGAGGTCAGGAGTTCCAGACCAGCCGGGCCAGCATGGTGAAACCCCATCTCTACCAAAAATACAAAAACTAGCTGGGCATGATGGCAGGCACCTGTAATCCCAGCTATTCAAGAGAATGAGGCAGGAGAACTGCTTGAACCCAGGAGGCAGAGGTTGCAGTGAGCCGAGATTGTGCCATTACACTCCAGCCTGAGCAACAAGAGCAAAACTCCGTGTCAAAAAAAAAAAAATTAAAGTTTGCTGTCATTACTCAAATTTTATAATGTAAATATATAATATGAACAATATTAAGAAAATAGTCTTTATAAAATTCACAAATCAGAAAGTGAAAGAAGTATCAAAAATGTAGGATGTAGTCAAATTTTCTTTGTAAATGTTTTAATCAGCTATTCTTACAAAAGCTTCTGTAAAGTTATGTTTGAAAACAAAAAAACGACAAAAAACTTACATGTCCAAGTGTTGGCCCCCGTGGCATGATTGTAGCTTTGTTGATAGGCATTGCATCTTTTGTGTAATATGCTATAATGGCATGACCAGATTCATGATACGCTGTGATCGTTTTGTTTTTGTTATCAATTTCCACGCTTCTTCTTTCAGGACCTAAGATAAAAATTTAATTAAGTAAATAAAATACTCCACTAGAAAGGTGTATTTAAATCAACAAAACACATTCTTGTCTGCAAATCAAACACACTCCACCCTTCCTATCAGTAGGCTGTGCATCCACAGATCCAACCAAGAAAGGATTAAAAGTATGGGGAAGAGGAACAATAAAAAATAATACAAATTAAAAAAAACAACAACAGTATAACAAAACTATTTACAGAGCATTTATATTGTATTAGTAATCTACAGATGATTTGAAGTATACAGGAGAATTGTGTAGGTTATATGCAAATAGTATACCATTTTATAAAAGACACTGAGCATCCTTAACTTCTAGTATCTACATGGGTCCTGGAACCAATCCCCGCCCCCTCAGTGGATACTGAGGTGTGACTGTATCTGACATGGGATTAATATTAAAAAACAAAAAACTAATTCTCAGGCGCGGTGGCTCATGCCTGTAATCCCAGCACTCTGGGAGGCTGACGCGGGTGGATCACCTGAGCTCAGGAGTTCGAGACCAGCCAGACCAACATGGTGAAATCCCGTCTCTACTAAAATACAAAAATTAGCTGTGTGTGGAGGAGTGTGCCTGTAGTCCTAGCTATTCGGGAGGCTGAGACATGAGAATTGCTTGAATCTGGGCGGCAGAGGTTGCAGTGAGCTGAGATGGCGCCACTGCATTCCAGCCTGGGTGACAGAGCAAGACACTGTCTCAAAAAATAAAAATAAAATTAAAAAATAAAAAATGAATTCTCCTTAAAGTCATTTTTTTTTTTTTAAAAGACAGAGTCCTGGCCAGGAATGGTGGCTCATGCCTGTAATCCAACACTTTGGGAGGTCGAGGTGGGTGGATCACAAGGTCAGGAGTTGGAGACTAGCCTGGCTAACATGGTGAAACCCCATCTCTACTAAAGATACAAAAAATTAGCCAGGCATTGTGGCACGCACGTGTAATCACAGCTACTCGGGAGCCTGAGGCAGGAGAATCACTTGAACCCGGGAGGCAGAGGTTACAGTCAGCCAAGATTGCACCATTGCACTCCAGCCTGGGCATCAGGGCAAGACTCTATCTCAAAAAAAAAAAAAAAAAAAAAAAAAGACGGAGTCCTTGCTCTTGTCGCCTAGGCTGGAGTATAATGGCTCAATTTCGGCTCACTGCAACCTCTGCCTCCTGGGTTCAAGTGATTCTTCTGCCTCAGCCTCACAAGTAGCTGAGATTATAGGCACCCGCCACCAGGCCTGGCTAATTTTTGTATTTTTAGTAGAGACAGGGTTTCACCATGTTGGCCAGGCTGGTCTCAAAGTCCTGACCTCATGATCCACCTGCCTCAGCCTCCCAAAGTGCTGGGATTATAGGCATGAGCCATTGCACCTAGCCTAAAGTCACTTTTATAATAGCTCGCTACAACCTTGAACTCTTGGCCTCAAGTAATCTGCCCATCTTGGCCTCCCAAAGTGCTGAGATTACAGCTGTGAGCCACTGTGCCTAGCTTTAGTATTTTTCTGTTTTTCTTTTTAAACAGACTGGAGTTCAGTTGTGTGACCACGGCTCACTGTAGCTTCAACTTCTTGGACTTAAGCAATCCTCCCACCTCAGACTCCTGAGTAGATGGGACCACAGGCGCATGCTACACTGCCCAGCTAATTTTTAAAATTTTTGGTAGAGATAGAGTCTCGCTATGTTGCCCAGCTGATCTTGGGCTCCAACAATTCTGGGCTCAAGTGGTCCTCCTGCCTCAGCCTCCCAAAATGCTGGGATTACAGGTGTGAGCCACCACACGCCCAACCTATAAATATTTTAAACAGAGTAAACATTTTTTTAAATGGGCAGAATTCATTCTGTAACACATACAAACTGTAACAGTTTATCTGCAAACCAAAACTGTCAAAACTATCATCTTAATTCTTACATCAAAAGGGAAAACTTAATTCTATTTCTATAAAATAAATTTCCAATTCAACAAGAATATCTTAACCTGTTTTTAAGCCAATCCAAGATTTAAAATCAAAATTAAGCACAGGATAAAGTTAAGCATTCTTTTTATCAGCAACGTCAGAAAAGAGGAAATGTATATGTGCCCCATCTCCCCACCAGCAGTATAACTACATAATTATATAAGCTATTAGTATATATTTGTTTTATAAGGGGCCAAATTATGGTGTTGTTAAGTATGTATTTTCATGTTCCCATCACTTTTTTAACCTTTCCAGTCAGAAAAAAAGGTATTCTAAGAAAGAGACAAAACTAATAAATGTGGTACACTATAAAATCAGTCTGTATCACTGACAGGAGTATTGTCAAGAAAATGTTAGTTTACTGGCATTTTGTTTGACTGTTAAATTAGGAATTTTGTAAAATCATTTGTTACAAATCTTGAAAACCCAGACAGTGAAGTTTTACAGTAAGATTAGATTCAACATGGCTTTAGCTGTTTGAATAGAGTATTTGCCCCCAAATGAATTATCTAACACAATGAAAAGTAAAAGATAGAAAAAAAACGAAGGAAACCTACCCATTAGAATTTTGTCTTTGGAAAACTCCAGCTCCTTCATGGTAACCATTTCTTTTCCATCAACAGCTGCCTTTAATGCAGCCTGGTTCACAAGATTCTCCAACTCTGCTCCAGAAAAGCCAACGGTACCTCGAGCTATAATTTCTGGATCAATGGCTAATGTAAAAAGAAAACATAACACTAAAAGTCCAAAACAGGTAAAAGAAAGCTCTTCACAAAGAACTCACATTCCTGCCAGGCCAGGTGGCTCATGCCTGTAATCCCAACACTTTGGGAGGCTGAGGCAAGTGGATCACCTGAGGTCAGGAGTTCCAGACCAGCCTGGCCAACATGGTGAAACCCTGTCTCTACTAAAAATAGAAAAATTAGCTGGACATGGTGGCGTGCACCTGCAATTCCAGCTACTCGGGAGGCTGAGGCAGGAGATTTGCTTGAACCTGGGAGATGGAGGTTGTGCCATTGCACTCCAACCTGTGCAAAAGAGTGAAACCCTGTCTCAAAAAAAAGAAAAAAAAAATTCCGAGGGAAAATACCTAGCTATTCTGAGATATAGTTTAGACATTTTTTTTCTCTCAATTTCATCTGGAAATACTTTGGACTAAAAATTGCCTTTATTGTAGGAAACATATCATTTAATGAATTGATTCAGTATCTCTGAAACTACTGCAGCTTTAATAATTTCATTTATTACTCAAGTGGGTAATAAATTCAATTGTGTTTTGTTTCATAATTTGCTTTCTTCTCTTTTGGCCCCATATTGAATATATCATGACCTACTGTTTTGGCAGCTTTTTCTGTTATTTTGCATTTTATATTCATCTTAAAAATGTGTATTTATATATATGTATATATATATCTCCTCAAATATTATCTTTCTGAATACTCTAAAAAACCTTTCTTTAGAATCAGAGTTTAAAACAATAGCATCTCCTGAGTATACACTAAGGGATAGACTTAAATGAACATACTGATGGAAAAACAAAAGATAAAAATGAACTGGCCTTTTAATATTAATACATTTATCATGAAAGAACCACAAACAGGGAGAGTGGTATATTACCACTTTATAGAAATCATAATGTTTGCTTTGATAGAATTAGACTTACATTGATCGAACTTTATTTTATTGAGATACCATTTCAAAATTTCTGTGCGACCTTTTACATCTGGTCTTGGAACTGTAACTTGCATGTCAAAACGACCAGGACGTATTAAGGCACTACAGGAAGAATGAAAAGGAAAATATAAATTAATAAACTGACTATGCTAAAGCTCAAATTCAACAAGATTAACACCCTAATAACATGAATGGGAGCCCAATGGCAGCCAGACAACAGATGGACTTTTGTACATAAATATTCAGATAGTTCCTTTTAAAACATGGCTTAAGTAACAGTGTCAATAACCAGAAGGTAGAACAAAGGTTCATTCAGATATATGTGTGTACCTAGGTAGCCTACCCCTCAGAAACAAAAGCATGCAAGTAACCAAGTCCAGGAACAAATAATTCTACAATAAACTATTATGAGAACCACACATCCATCTCGAGTGCTAAGTACAGACTGTTAGACTACAGTGTTAGGCAGTGACAAACTACTGATCAAATGAAAATATGAGTAACTTCTACAATAAAACTTTTTTCATAGTAACTTTAAACCTAGTTACAATACTATAGTCAATTTATTTTTAAAATGCTCTCTATACAAAACTTTCGTGACATACCACAAAAATATTTTAAAAGTTTTACTGAGATGTAATTCATGTAACAGAATTTAAAGTGGATACTTCAGTGGTTTTTAATATATTCAGAATTGCACAACCATCACCACAATCTAATTTTAGAATATTCCCATCCCCCCACAAGAAATCCCATATCCAATGGCAGCCATTCCCCATTCTCCCTAACCTCTGGTAACTGCTAACCTAATTTGTCTCTGTGGATTTGCTTATTCTGGACATTGCATATAAATGGTATCATACAATGTGATCTTTTGCAATGGACTTCTTCTAGCATGTAACACTATTTCACAAAAATCTTCTTTTAATACTTACTTATCTAATGCCTCTGGGAAGTTTGTGGCTCCTATTATGATAACTCCTTCATTGGGTTTAAAACTATATAGGAAAAAAAATAGTATCTTTTCACTAACATTGAAGCACAGCACACATGTAGAAATGCTCTACACAAAACTGGTTTATTTTCTTGAGACTGGGACTCGCTTTGTGGCCTAGGCTGGAGTGCACAGGTACAAACATAGCTCACTACAGCCTCAAACTCCTGGGCTAAACTTCTGCCTCAACCTTTCAAGTAGCTAGAACAACAGGTGCATGCCACCATACCTGAATAATTTATTTTTATTTTTCATTTATTTTTTTAAAATTTCTCCCTAATTTCCAGGTACAAGCCACTGACTTTTTTTTTGAAATGGAGTCTCACTGTCGCCCAGGCTAAAGTACAACGGCACTCATTGCAAACTCTACCTTCCAGGTTCAAGCAATTCTCATGTCTCAGCCTCCCAAGTAGCCAGGTTATAGGCGCCTGCCACCACACTCAGCTAATTTTTCTATTTTTGGTAGAGATGAGGTTTTACCATGTTGGCCAAGCTGGTCTTTCCTGACCTCAGGTGATCAACCCACCTTAGCCTCCCAAAGTGCTAGGATTACAGGCTTTAGCCACCATGCCCAGCAACTATTTTTATTTTTAGTAGAGAGAGGGTCTTGCTATGTTGACCAGGCAGGTTTTGAACTCCTGGCTTCAAGCAATCCTCCCACTTTGGCTTCCAAAAGTCCTGGGATTACAGGTGTGAGCCACCATGCCCAGCTTCATTAATCAAACAACAGCCTAGAAAAGAGACTGATAATAAACTACTAGTCATCTGTGATTACATACTTTCACAATTATCTGGTCTATGTAGGAAAAGATAACCTGCTATAAAAAGCTTATGTGCCTGGTTAATTTTTGAAAAGTTACTTTCAAGTATACCAATTTAAATTATTCACTACTGGGCTTCATATGTGGTTTCAAAATTGGCTTTTGATATACTCTTTCAAAGCAACATCACCTCTTGCTTTTTATATTATGAACACTGATGTAAGCTTTAAATCTGCCACAACATTCAAAGCTAGTCATAAATTGAGTAGAAACAAGTGTATTTCTTCAAACAGACTACTAGTCTCAGCTTGAATCATTGTGTTTCTATCACAGTATAACAATATATGAAAAAGAATATAAATACCACAAATTAAATAAGGTAAGTTGATATTCAAATATCCAATTAGTGATGAAAACAATACAATACTGAGAGAAAAAGCTTGAGTTCTTGCATAAGGGACTACTCTGTTTCCTATATACGTTTTTCATATATGAAATGCCTTATGGAAATAATTTGCATAAGATCAGTTCTACATATATCAAATGCTGGGAGGCATCACCATATTCTAAGACAAAAGAAGATTCAATTACCCATCCATTTCAGCAAGAAGTTGATTTATGGTCTGCCTTGAATATGGATGCATTGGAGATTCAATTCTCTTCCCACCAACAGAATCTAATTCATCAATAAATATAACACAAGGAGCATTCGCTTTTGCTTCTCCTAGGAAAACAAAAAAGATTCAAATAAGCTGAAAGAAGTCAACACTTTTGAACAAAATGAGATAAATATTAAAATCCTATAAAACTGTCAAAAGCCAACAAAAAATATTCATTGGAAGAAAATACACAAAAGGAGATCATTTTTTATTGATTTAAGAATAGTAGCTTCAGGGTGGGGAGGAAACTATACCAAAGAAAATGATATAAAATAAAAACAACTGGGCATTCATTCTTCCTAGCTATACAAATATCATATACAATCAGGTTTGAAGCTAATTATTCCTTAATTCCATACTATAGAATTCATTAATAAAATGAAAGCAAAGAAACAAACAAAAAAACAACTAAGAGATTTTTGGTGGCCTGCAACCTCTTCTTGCACTTCCACTAACTCTTCTGATAATTCTTATATTAAGTTACCCAAACAAAAATCCCACAATGGCTATTTTGGCTATCAATCAAAACTAATTAGCATGCAAAGCTGGAGGCCACAAAAAATAGAAATTAAAAAAGTGAAGAAAAAAGTAATTAGCAAAGAAAGGGTAAGATACACACTTCCCTTTAAAATTAACAAAATTTAGCATTGTGTGAAAGATATACCAAAACGTACTAAAAAGATTTCTGATACGGCTGGCTCCCACACCCACAAACATCTCATCAAATTCTGATCCAGAAGCATAATAAAAAGGAACATCAGCTTCTCCTGCCACAGCTCGGGCAAGAAGTGTCTTTCCAGTCCCTGGTGGTCCGACTAAAAGAATTCCTAAAAAAAAAAAAAAGAAAACAAGAATGATTCAAAGTATTTTTTAAAAATCCCTTGATATGAACCTATAAAACAATTATTCATTTACATAATTTTCAGGTTGAGGTCACACCAATAACGAATATTTTGAAACACAGAAAACCGTACTTGTCTCTGCTAACAGTTCACTTCAGAATCTTGTCCAAAATTAATCTTTCTGTGTCATATAAATATTGTTTACATATCAAAAACATGACAAGGAGAATCTTGAGGCAAAAATATATAAACCGATTTATTACTAAATAAGATAAAACTTCATGTAGAAATAGATTAAAAGACTAAATAGCCGGGTGCAGTGACTCACGCCTGTAATCCCAGCACTTTGGGAGACCGAGGCAGGCAGATCACAAGGTCAGGAGATCAAGACCATCCTAGCTAACACGGTGAAATCTCGTCTCTACCAAAAATACAAAAAAAATAGCCAGGTGTGGTGGCACGCGCCTGTATTCCCAGTTACTTGGGAGGCTTAGGCAGGAGAATCGCTTGAACCCGGGAGGCAGAGGTTGCAGTGAGCCGAGATCACACCACTGCACTCCAGCCTGGGTGATACAGCAAGACACCGTTCAAAAAAAAAAAAAAAAGACTAAACAATTAAATGTAAATGTAATTCATGAATCTTGATTTGATGCATTTTCATAAAGAACAAAATATTGTAGGGACATTTGATGATGTTTAAACAAGACAGGAGAGTACACGACATTAAGGAAATGGTATTAATTTTCTTTGTTGGGATAAGATTATTACATTTATTTAGGACACTTGTCCTTATTCTTAGGTGATGTAAAACAAAGTCTTTAGATGTCAAGTAGTTGATGTCTATAGTTTTCTTTCAAATGTTCGGGGGGGAGGGGGAATACACACATAGACAGAAAGTAAATAGGACACAATGTTAATAATTGTTCAGTGTAAGTGGATAGGATATGGATGTTAATTGTACTGTTCTTTCAAGGTTTTCCATATGTTTGAAAATTTTCATATCAGAAATATTTTCACATGTTAGAAAGATAGTATTTCCTGATTTATATGTTTTTATTAATATACATATTACATTGAAAAGCAACAAAACTTCTTTATATACATGTTTGTAGCATTTTAACATAAAAAAATTTTAGAGAAGGTTCAAGCTCAAAAATAGCTTTAAGACTATCCTAGTATTGTCATGTTTTAGTGATATTTAACTGGTTTAAATATTAATTTTTGTGGATTACATCTTGGTATCTGAAGATTTTTCTACAAATTTATACTGCTCAAATTTTCTACAAATTTAAAATACTCCTTGTGATTTGAAAGAGGAAGAGTGTTAACTATTAATAATTCTATAATTTGAAACATTCACTCTGTAATGTGATGGCACTGATTTAATAAATGTGCCCTAAATTAGCAAAGGTTCCTGCATATAATTTCATACATTTCTGTGTTCTCAGTAGAGATGGGTGGCAGTATAAAAACAAGCATTAAAAAGGAGTGTCATCCTTTAACTCAGCAATTCCATTTCTAGAAATTTATTCTAAGGAAATAATTAAGCATGTAGGCAAAGCCTTGAATTAAGATGATCATCACAGTACTATTTTTAATAGCAAAAAACTGGAAACCATATAAAAATTCAGCATAAATAGTTAACTTGTGATACAACCATAAATTAGAATGATACTATGTAATCAATAAAAATCATGTTAACCATGAGAAAACTTCAGGCAAAGCTAAACTGAGAACATTCTATAAATAATTAGGCAAGTACTCTTTGCAATTGTAAAAATCATGAAAGATCCTCTCCTCCCCACTTCCTCACAAAAAGGCGAAGGAATTGTTTCATTTAAAAAAAAAAAAAAAGGTAAAAACCTAAATATTATGTGTGATCCTGGATTGAATCCTGAACTGGGGAAAAGGGTAGGGATCAGGGCAACACTACAAAGGATACTACTGGAACAAACGCTGAAATTTGAACATAGACTATAAATTTGATAATGGTTACGTATGCATGTTAAATGTCCTTTTTTTTTAAAGACAGAGTCTTGCTCTGTCACCCAGGAGTACAGTGGCGCAATCTTGGCTCACTGCAACCTCCATCTCCCAGGTTCAAGCAATTCTCCTGCCTCAGCCTCCAGAGTAGCGGGGACTACAGGTGCCTGCTAAAAGCCTGGCTAATCATTTTTTGTATTTTTAGTAGAGACAGAGTTTCACCATGTTGGTCAGGCTGGTTGGAACTCCCATGGCCCCTGGTTGAAGATCAGCCTGGTTTCGAACTCCTGACCTCAAGCAATCCACTTGCCTCCACCTTCCAAAATGCTGGAATTATAAGCATGAGTGAGCCACCATGCCCAGTTAATGTCCTAATCTTAGTATTATTCTGGAATTACGTAAAAGAATATCCTTATTCTTAGGAAATACACACTTAGGGGTGATTATATTTACAATTTAATCTCAAATGTTAAAAATTTATTTGTTACTTTGGGAGGCTAAAGGGGGTGGATCACGAGGTCAGAAGTTCAAGAACAGCCTGGCCAAAATGGTGAAACCCCATCTCTACTAAAAATACAAAAATTAGCCGGGCACGGTGGCAGGTGCCTGTAATCCCAGCTACTCAAGAGGCTGAGGCAGGAGAATCGCTTGAACCTGGGCAGCAGAGGTTGCAGTGACCCGAGATCCAGCCACTGCACTCCTGCCTGGGAGACAGAATGAGACACTATCTCGAAAAAAAAAAAAAAAAAGTTTGTTTATTTACAAATAATTTTTATATTTACATATGTGTAAAGAGACAAAGTGAATGGTTTTTGAAATATAGCTAGCTTGAGCGCCCTGGCTCATGCCTGCAGTCCTAGTGCTTTAGGAGGCCAAAGTGAGTGGATTGCTTGAGCCTAGGAGTTCAAGAGCAGCCTGGGCAACATGGAGTACCCTTGGCTCTACAAAAAATACAAAAATTAGCGGGCATGTGGTGTGTGCCTGTGGTCCCAGCTACTTGGGAGGGTCACCTGAACTCGGGAGGTCGTGGCTACAGTGAGCCATGATTGTTGCATCGCTACACTCAAGTCTTTCAAGCCTGGGTCTAAAAAAAAAAACAAAAAAACAGCAAAATATTAAAAATTTGTGAGTCTAGGTTAGGGGTATGAGGAGTGTTCTATGTTCTATTCTTGTAACTTCAAGTTTGAAATTATATAAAAATTTGTAGTTACAAAAAAAAAGGCTGTGGAATTGTATGTTGAGAATGAACATCTGTTTTGTAAAATAGCAATTAAGAATTAAACATTAATCAGTTAAAATTAAATTAGTAATATATTACAGGGTTGTTTTTTTTTTATATAAAATCATAGTAAAGAAAAGATATCTTACCTTTTGGAAGTTTACCTCCGAGAACAGTAAATTTTTGTGGATTTTTCAAGAATTCAACCACTTCTTGTAATTCTTGTTTAGCTTCCTCCACCTAAAGTGACACAAATTTCCAAATTATAAGATAATGGGCACATTTGGTTAAATTATCTAGGCTTCCCTTTTGCAAATCATAAATTTAATTTCGATATGGAATTAACCTAGCCTTCTCTGTTTTAGTGAAAGAAGCATACAAAAATGGCCCCTTAAAAAACACCCAAAGTATTTTCCCTATTATTTCCATATGCAAAGTCTCCTTACTATCCCCCCAAAATTATTCTGAACTTTCATTTTCTGTGAGGAAACAAAAGTCAAGTACATTGGGCAGGGTTAAAAAGAAACTATCTAGAGAGGAGCATACTAAAACATGAAACATACCTTCATGCCAAAGGGCATTCTGAAATGTACAATTAATGTCATGATTCTCTTATTCTTTCAAGAAAATTTCTTAGACATATTTCTAGAAAATATTACACTTAAAAAGAGCAAAGTTATGCTTTTTTGTTAGACTTGGAATGGTCTTTGAAAGTTATTCTGATTAAATCATCAAAATTTTACTAAGGTATTAATCAAGTTAATGGTTAAAAACAAAGCATTTTCTTTTTATAGAGAATTTTTAAAAATAAAAAACAAAGCTTTGTCCACTCCTAGGTCTAGGAGAACTGTGAACATATGTTCACTAAGAGATGTGTACAAGAATATTCACACCAGCTCTATTTCAGCCAAAAACTAGAAATAACCCAAATGCCCACCTAAAAGTAGTATAATTGCACAGTGTTGTGGTATTCACATAATGGAATACTATGCAATAAGGATAAATAAACTACAACTCCAAATAACATAGATCTCACAAACATCATGTTGAATAAAAGAAGTGTCATACAAAAGAGGGTATTTTATATACATTACATTTATCTAAAATTCAAACACAGGCAATATTTATGTATGGTATTAGGAAACTGTTCCTAGGCGGAGGAGTCAGTAACCAGAAGGAGGCATCAGGGAGGTTCTGGGCTTCTGATAACATTCTGTTTCCTGAGCTGGGTACTTATAACACAGACATTTTGTGAAAATAGGTAGATTTGTGCATTTTTGTGTGAATTTGCTAAACTTCAATAAAATTTGTGGTTAAAAAAAGACTTGGCTGGTTTATTAAAAGAGAACTTGAAAGACAGTATCCATGTACTAAAAGAAGACTAATATACATTTGGTTAAAATAATAGATATAATGACAATTTTAAGTTGTAGGAATAAAGAAGAGATTAAACATAATTTGCTACTCAAATAAATTACATTCTCTCCCCAGATTCTGTGGCAAGAGAATTCCCACATGAGGAACATAAATCTATCAAGGAAAATAGTTCATGGGATCAAGGTAATGAATCAAGTTATTAAAAGCCCTTATTAATATTTTTAAGGAAATATATGTCTATATATTCAGAAATTCTTGGCAAGGAAATGACATTCCTATAGAAGCTCTTTGAGATTTGGTAAAAATTTGATCACAGGAACTACCTAATGGCAAACCTGTACTGGTAAATGCTACTTAATTACTTTGCTCTATATAAATTTAGGTCTTACAGCAATTATAAAATTTATTCATTTTAGCATGGAAAACTTTGTATGGATCCACCTTGATTGTGATGTCTACTTTCATTATACTTAGTATCAGCATGTCTTTAATTTAGTATTCAGAAATCCCCACATTTCAGGACAGGCATAGTGGCTCATGCCTACTTCTCCAGCACTTTGTAAGGCTGACATGGGAGGGCTGCCTGAGCTCAGGAGTTTGAGACCAGCCTAGACAACAAAGTTAAGAGTCTGTCTGTACCAAAAAAAAAAAAAAAAGGAAGGGGGAAGGGAAAAAGAAAGATCAGCTGGGCCTGGCTGCTCATGCCTATAATACCAGCACTTTGGGAGGGAAAGATGGATGGATCACTTGAGCTCAGGAGATCAAGACCAGCCTAGGTAACATAGCTAAATCCCAAATCTATGAAAAAATACAAAAAATTAGCCAGGCGTAGGGGCACATGCCTGTAGTCCCAGAGACCTGGGAGGCTGAGGCGAGAGGAGGGCTTGAGCCTGGGAGGAGGAGGTTGTCATCAGCTAAGATTGCACCACTGTACTTCAACCTGGGTTACAGAGCCAGACCCTGTCTAAAAATAATAGTACGATAAAATTTAAAAATCAGCCAGGTGTGGTGGTGCATGCCTGTGGTCTTGGCTACAAGGGAGGCTAAGGCAGAAGATCACCTGAGCCCATAAGGTCAAAGCTACAGTTGGCGAAGATCACACCATTGCACTCCAGCCTGGGCAACAGAGTGATAGACCCTGTCTCAAAAAAAAAAAAAAAAAAAAAAAAAAAAAAAAAAAAAAAAAAAAAAAAAAAAAAAAAAAAAAAAAAACCCAACCAACTAACCAAACAAAAAACTCCTCTCATTCCAAAAGCAAAAGGGTATTATATTCAGTAAATAAGTATGTACATTACAGGCAGAAAATAACAATGCTCTGTCTGACCACAGCCTTAACACAGGCTCAATTTAGAAAACGTATGCAGGGCCGGGCGCGGTGGCTCAAGCCTGTAATCCCAGCACTTTGGGAGGCCGAGGCGGGTGGATCACGAGGTCAAGAGATCAAGACCATCCTGGTCAACATGGTGAAACC